CCCCCCGGGGCGGGGCGGAGGGCCTGCGGGGTGACCCCCCCCCCCCGGGCCCCACCGCGCGCTTTTTCCCCCCCCCCAGAGTGGGCGTGCCCCCCCGCCATGGCGGAGGAGCGGGCCCCCCAGCTGGTGGACTACTTCGTGGTAGCCGGCTTGGTGGGCACCTTCCAGCCGCTGGAGGACGAGAGCCAGGCGCCCCGCCCCGCCCGGCCGAGCGAGCCCATCGTGGACGTGGCGGTCATCGTCCGCTCGCAAGGCGAGGAGGTGCCCCATGGCTTCACCTGCATCGACCGTACCACCTCGGGGCACCCCGTGGAACTCAACACCAGCCTGCTCAGCAACCCCCAGATGTTCATCTGCTACCGGCGGGGGCGGGATAAGCCCTCGATCGTGGAACTTGGGTAGGTAGCGGCAGGGAGAGGGTTCGGCGGGGCAGGGACCCGCTTTGTACCAGGAACAGCCCTTCCCGTCCGGTCCCTTTTGGAAAGGCCAGGCTGCAGTGCCCAGAATTCGTGGGGCACCTCCCAGTATTCCCACCTGAGGGAGACTCCCCCACCCCATTCACCTGGTCTGGCGTCCTGTTCCCCCTAGGGTGCATTACGGTGGGAAGGACCAGCCCAAACCGGGCTACAAAATCATCGACACCACGCCCTACAGCCACTCGGCAAACCTGGCCTCGGGAGCGCCCGGGCACCAGCACACTTTCCTGACGTACCGGCGGGCCAGCGAGGGCCAGGCATACAGCGCCTTGGGCATCACGGACATCTGCCTGATCATGCCGAGCAAAGGCGAGAGCACGCCGCACACCTTCTGCCGCGTGGACCGGAACCTCAACGCCGGCATGGTGAGTGGGCAGCAGGGCGGGCAAGGAAGAGCAACGGTCCGGGCCGTTGCAGCTCCCGGCAGTCCCTCCCAGCGTGGCCCATGGGTCACGGGATCCGGCAGTTGTGGTCTGAAGCCCCTGGAGAGGACCAGACTCCCGGTCTTGGAAATTCGGCCAGGGTGGGGACAGCTCCACGGTCTTTTACGGAGAACGGGGAGCCCGTCCCTGGTTTCAGGCCTTGCAACCGCTCTAGACAAGGCGGATGAACCGCCTGGTCTACGAGACGTACGTCAGCTGCTCCGTGGGACAGACTCTCCTTAATGCTCTTCTCTCCCCGCAGTGGGGCCCAGCCCTCTACATCTGCTACAAGATGGCTCTGGCTAAAGGAAACACCCTGGTGTACGAAGCAGGTAAGGGTTCGTGCGGCAGAAATGGGACGATAGGAATCTTGGCCTTTGCAGGTTTATTAGCCGGGCACCGTCTTCAAGGGCAGACCCGCAAAGGTAGGGATCCAGTAGTCAATCCCGGAGTTTGCCGAAGCGCAGAGAGCAGGGCAGTTCTTCCGTCAAGGGAGAGACAGAGAAGGAGAATTAAACTGGCCCAAGATAAACTCAAATATCAAGGACCATGATCTACACCAGTGCTTTTCAGACTTGGCCACTTTAAGATGTGGGGACTTCAATTCCCAGAATTCCCCAGCCAGCACGGGCGGACTTCAACTC